ATACAATTATCAAAAATTATTATTAATTGTTAATAATAAATCAATTGAATTTGAATTTATTTATAAAATTTTAGTTTTCTAAATTGAATAGAACACACACTGAATTAATTTACGATCTAAAATTGTATTCCGGAATAAATCAGATTTACATACGATTTGTATTTCCACAGAAATAATATTTAATTTGTTTTACAAATTTAGAGGCCAAGAATCTTATTAGAATACTAAATTCTTTTATGGTAGCGAATTTAACAATGTAAAAATTCGGTAGATTCTGTAAATAACGTAAAATATATTGCAATTGTATATTAATTAAATAATTCAATCACATTTAATTTATATTTTTGCAATATTTGAACTTAAAAATGCAATGGTAACATTATTATTACACTATTAACACAAATCAGCTTATGAATTTCAATTGCAGGATTCTCTAATAATAATTTGATATTACTACTGTTAAGATTTTACTGTTAAATTGAGAATAACATGAATTAGAAAATGAAAATTGTACTCTAAAATGAATCTTATGATTCAACAAAATTATTGAAATAAGTTCAAAGTTTCAAATTTTTTTAATGTTATACTTTTATTTTTAATTTAATATACATATACATGCAATATTTAAAATTTGTAAATTAAAAATTATTTCCGCGATTAAACAATTAATTATTATTTTTCAAAATGTTTGACAAATTTTATTAAAATTTGATTTTATCATTTAAAAAATAAAATTAATTTCATAGTTACCAGCATTTTGAATATAACAATAATGACATTATTTATAATTTTATCTAATTTTAGAAAAGGTAAATCAAATCTAGATTCTCATTTTTTTTTTTGTATTAAATTTTGTAAAAATAAAAAAAAAAATTAATAGAAATTCAAGTATTTAGAAACTAGAAATTCTTGTTATACAATTGCAAGGAAAATTTCACGTTTCAACTTTTTATAAAGGTACTGTATTTAAAATTGTGAAAAAATAAAAATTTCCTGAAACCTAACCATGAACCCCGAAATTCAGTATTTATAGAAATTCAAGTAAAAACGAATAAAAAGTTTATCGACTTCCGATAATGATCAACACAAGAATGACAGCTTAAATCAGTTTTTATTATAAAGAAAAAATTTAAAACACAAAAAAAAAAACTAACAAGAAATGGAAAAACAAGAAAAACGAAAAAAAAAACATTTTTATGTCAATATTTTGAAGAATTTGTAAAACAAAAAGAGAAAAAAATGCGCAAAAATCTAGTAAGACAAAAAAAAATCTTCCGCATAAAAATATTTTTTGTTTTTTTGTGATTTATTTTTGATCTAATCATTTTTAATTCTCCACAATTTATCAAATTTTATTCTTTGTATAAATTTTTCTTTTTTTCGCTCTTCTTTTTACTCAGGAAATTAAAATTTGTGTTAAATTAATTTTAATAAAATAATTAAATATTTTGTTAATAAATTGAATAAATTATTGGCAACAAACAAAACAAAAAAAAATTCTTATTCTCTCGAACTTCTTCGGTTTTTTGTAAATATTCTCCCCGACCTTCCCGTCCTCCTATAACCATTGTCAAAATGGTAAATTTTTGGTTGAATACTTTTTTTTCCTTAATAATTTTTGAAATTCTGAAAAAATTTTAATTTGCAAATTAAAAACAACAAAAATTCTTGATTTACTGTAATAGAAATGCTCTTGTCATGCTAATAATTTTATTATTAACGGAAATCTTAGATTGTATAATATAATAAAATTACAAATATAATTTAGATTAGGGAAATTTTTATATGTATTTATGTTATGTTTATCATTTCATTTTGATATCATTTGAGAATTAAAGATTTTTGCGCTGACGCAAACTCACTATACTCTCTACCGACCACTTTATTTTTACATCATCAGTTCAACAACGATATTTTAATATACATACACATACATAGTTATACTTTGCCCATCAAGAATTCGAATATAATCGAAAATAATCGAAATAATTCGATAATAATCGAAAAATAAATTATTAAATTGACAATTATTTTAAACTGAGATTTGAGAGTAATTTTATTTTCTATTCTCTTATATTATAATAAAATCTCTTATTAAAATTCCATTATGTATGTAAGTATTTTCATATTTTTGTGCTCTTAAAAACAGCCTCAAAGTGGGATTCAATGACTTGTCAGTTTAGCGACAAGCTACATATGTATGTATTTTATGTAAAAATTTGTATATTTGACATTTCTCGTTATTTTTAGTATGTACAGTATTTTTTTCTTTCTCTCTCAAATATTTGAAATAACTTCATAATTATTCACCACATACAATGGCTGCTGTACAATCATTTTACTTAATTTATGATAAAAAAAAAATTCTTAATCATTAATCTATTAAAATATTTTAAATTATAATCACAATACAATCTTCTTTATAAATATACATACATACATGTGTAATTACATAAGGGAATGAATATAATATTATGCATTTATGAATATTTTTTTTTTCAATAATTAAATAATCATAGGTCACGGTCATTATTAAACGAATCACAATATGTATGTACGTATGTATGTAAACAGACGTACATATATATATTAATATACAAATTTTAATAAATTTAATATTCGGTTGAATCGATAATAATATTTTGCATAATAATTACCACTAGACATTCTTGCTTGTGCATATACATACATATATTTTGACAAATTTTGTATGTTACCTACATACATATGTATGTACATATAGAGAATAACACAGAGAAAAAACTTCATTAAAATTAGAAATTTCGATTGAATAGTAGTAAGATGACAACAAAAGTATATGTAAATAAAGTACATAGATATGTACATATGTAGGTACATAAGGGTATATAAAATAACGTGTGTATGAATGTATGTATATATATAATTTTTTTTTCTTTTTCCATAAATGGTTTAATAATGATATTATAGACAGGTCATTAGACTCGTATTTCAATCAAAATTTTAATATTTTAATAATTTTAATATTATAATTATGACAACGATGAGATTTGAGGTACCTACCCACCTATACATTTTAGACATACAACTATCTATATTTTTTTTTGCTTATTTGGTAACCAAAAAACGAAAAAGAAAAAATTTGAATAGATAAAGAAAATGAAATGGAAAAAAAAAATTTTAAAACGATTATTGTTGGAAAACTAGAAATTTTTGATGAGTACGTAAGTGTATGTGTGTTTGTACTGAATTCTAAATATTGTATAAAAAGTGAAGGTTTTTTACAGTCCAAATTTTTTTCTCTATTTTATTCATATTTAATAACTAAAAAATTTAAGTCAAACGTGATTATTGTCGATTGATTTGCATATACACACATTTATATGTACACACATTTGTTTGTACGTAAGTGTCTAATTCAAACATATGTCCACTTCTTACAAATATGACGAAAGATCTATGAACTTTTAATTAGATGCAATAATTTGTCTACTTTTTTGGCAGAATTCACACGCTTAAATTTTTTTTTGTTATATTTTTAAAAAAAAAATACCTTGAAAACGTTGAATTCTAGTTTAAATTTAGATATGAAAAATTTTTTTGGTTTTAAATTAAAATAATTTTATTAATTATTTGTTAAAACACACATTCATCCAAGTATAGTAATATTTTTTATATTAAATTTTAAAATACAATTAAAACTAGTTGCAACATTGTTTTTTCCGAAAAAAAAAAAAAATCTTAATCAATGTCAAATGATTCTTCTTAATTTCATGATTATCACATTTTTTTTTAATAATAATTATAATTTATTTAAAATATCCTATAAATAAATAAAGTTGGGTCAAACCAATAATTTGTACGGTAGCACTTTTCCGTTTAACAAGTGAAAATAATGTTTTTTCTATCTTGATAATCTTGGTACTAAAACATTATTAAAATTATTTTCATTCATATACGAATATAATTAAAAGATTGCATACATTTAGGATGAAACAACTAAAAAAAATGTAAAGAGACTTTAACATAATGCTCGAAATAAAGGGTTAATTACATGAGTTAAGATGAAAATAGTTATATTTTTTAAATGGTATGGAATTTACCGTTAGCTTTCTGTGTTTGTTTTGGAAATATAAGGTACCAAAAATTCAAATTTTACAAAATTTCGAAAGCCGATAGAAAGATAAGTTGAGGGAGAGTGAGGGGTGAAAAAAAAATTTCTTCTTTAGAAATGAAATATTTTTTTAGTGTCTAAAATTTCAGATTTCTACATTACCCATAAATTCTTCAAAAGAAGTCAATGGCTACTTTTATGATTTTGCAACGCTTGAAAAAATATTATGGTTTCGCTACATAAAATAGTTAAAAAATGGTTTTTTGGGGTTTATAACTTTTAGAAAGAGGGGAATAGGTAAAAATTTTCTTCTACAATAATAAGTTTCTAGTAAAAATTTACGTAAACACAAAATTTCAGCTTTGTATCTTGAAGGGTGTAGAGGTTTTAAAAATAAACACACGGACAGACGGACGGACGGACATAGTGGCACTAAGAAATACTTTTTCAAAAATTTTTTTTTGTAAATAGTGTTAAAACTACAAATTCGAAACAAATTAGAACAGGCTGAACTTGAATTCTATTTGAAATTTTTTTATTAATACAATATAAAATTAAATATTGTAATTTTTCATAATTAAAGTATTTTTTTTTCGAAATGAAATATAACAATAAATTCTTTAAACAATAATTACGCGCATAATAGGCAAACATTTATAAATTTCCTGATTATTCTTAAAAAGTTTAAAGTTTAAATTAAACTACTTTTTTTTTAAAAATATTTTAGAATCATTTAAATTAATTTCCTGATCAAATTTATTATCTAGATATTTTATTTATAAATTTTAATAAAATGTAGTTAGAAATGTAGACTAGTTATAATATTCTATATTATTATTTAATATTTATAATTAAATTAAATAAATAGAGAAGAAAAATTGAAAAAAAAAATTTTTTTTTTACTTACTTGTTACATCATTTTTGAACTATGGTTAATTTTTTTGTTTTTTTAATGTAAACTGTTTTGTAATAATTTTTTTTATATTCTGAAAATAAAAAATAGAAAAAAAAAATTAATTACTAGATATTTGAAAAATATTTATTAAATAATTTTAATATTCATAAATATTTGCGTTTAATTTAACAAAATATAAAAAAAAAATTGTGGTGAAATAAAATTATGTGTTGAATTTGGTGAATTTCTTTCAATTCGCTTTTATTTTAAAATTATCTATGTATGTATACAAACCTTTGATTTGAAATTTACCCTATTAGGAACAAAGAACCACTAAACTGAATTATGAATAAAATTTTAGCATAATATATGATAAGATCTTTAAAGCCGAAGTTGAGGCATTTATGTTATAAAATATAAGCTTATCAGCAATCTGCTTTATTTAGCAATCAAATATTAAAATTTTACTAATAAATTAATTAAGCGATACTAGAAATACAATACGATTAAATAAAGTGGCTAAACGCGACGTTAAACATGCCATTTTATAGACGCCCTTTGACGTGAATAATACTATTATGGAATTCATCTTGAAAGTATGCAATTTTTTAAAATCATACATTAAATTCTGTACTAAGTAAGTTGTATTGAAATTGGCGCATAAATTCGGAGTATATTCAACACTCTATTCTCGCTCAAATTATAATTGGAATTACACTATAATTAGTTAAATCAGCTGTCGGAAAAGTGCGGTCCATTTAACTTTAAAATGCGGCCCATCATTCTTCTTGCAGACTTTTGATTGTGACTATTAAAATTTTTCAAAAAAATTTTCAGAACTCAATCTCATATAATATATATATATAGGCACGTAAAATTCATACAGAAGAAAGTCAGTTGAAAATGTAATTTCTTCTTGCAAGTAGGTATTGTAATAAGCTCAAATGGTCTATAGTTATAGTCACATGATACACATTTGCTCATAATCAACAAAAGTTTGCCGAAGGTTGAGTTAAAGTAATCAATGATTTCAAAATGGTCTGTAGATTTTGAATTTTTGTGTGTTAGTCAACTTGTGTGTTAGGCAAGCGAAACGTGTTGTTTTCTCTATAGAAGTCTGGAACCTAGTGATGTTTTTTTTTGTGTTCTGGTTTGAGAAAATGTAATATTCAATTGTAATAATGGCAAAATTCTTAATTTTCAAAAAATAATTTTTTTTTAAGAATACTTGCTATTGTGTGATTCTGTATTCTAATATTTCAATATGTCAAATGTTAAAGACTTATAAAACAATATGCATAATTGTTATAAGATCTATTTTTGAGTTAATATTAAAGAAATATGTCCTATATCACCTTCTATACTCAAATTTGCCTACAAAAAATGAAACAAAGATTAAAAGAGTTAATGAAGACAACACCAAAACAAAAAAAAATCAAAAAATTTATGGTTCACTTAATTTTCTACCTTTAATATTAAATAAATTATTTGTTTCTTTTGTTTTATTTTGTATACACACATGCATACATATGTTGTAGCTATATTCTTCCAAATTATTACAAAGTATAAGACGACACAAAACCGAATGTGCTAAAATGTAAAATAAATCATTAAAAAAATATTGAAAATTTTAATTTTAACACTTTTGAATTGTACACACAATAACATCATTGTATTTTTCTTCATATAAAATTCTCTATTTTGTCTCGTCCTCTCTTTGTAATATTTTAAACAATGATTTTTTACCAAAAATAGAAATATATTTTTTTTTCGAAAATAAAAAGAGTAGTACAATAAAATAAAATTAAAATTAAAGGCACAACGAAAATCAGAAATAGGCAAGTCGCCAAAAAAAAAAGCATTATTCTTAAAATAAGGAAATTTAAAGACGACCGCGCCAATTGTCTGATGAGCCATAATAATTGTAATTTCTGTTTTGATTACTGTTTGAATGTACAATTACTGTTGCTTTATAAGAGCACTAAAACATGATTTTCGATTATATAATACATATGTATAACACTTTACTTCTTCATCATAATAGTCTACACAAACAAGAACATTTGAATTACAAAATTTTCGTTCAATGGTCCAAATTAATTTTCTCCTTTGAAAAATCCAAAATATTTGAGTAATGTAGTGTATTCGATCTCATATGAGAAATGAGTGTAGCTCAAGAAGAGTAACTATTTTTCTCTTTCACTCTTCAAATCAAAAAAAAAATAAATATTACACATTGTTTACTATTTACTACTAAATACTAAATACTAAATTTATCAATTAAGTTTAGGAGAAAAAAATTCTTTAGGAACAGACCTTCTTCTCTTCAATTAAGACATATTTCACAGTGTTATTGTAGTAATGCCAATGTGTTATGAAATTTAGTAGCTTCTTATATTGCAAAGAACAGGGTCCAATTATTTTCGTAAAATGTATTATCATGCGTTATTAGACTGATACTTCTTCATCGTATTTAGAATAAATGCACGGTTTCCCAGGCAGAACTGGACACACGCATATTCATTAATATAGTAAAATACAATACTTTAAGTTCTGTCACAATAATATTGTATTCTGTCAAATTTCAAGCATGTCATTTTTAATGTAAGTGAACGGGAGATTATAATTAACTACTCGTTTATTGAATTTTCATTATAATTCAATTATTTTTTTTAAAAATTAATTTAATTAATAATTAATTAAATAGCAAGTAATAATTTTATACAAATTTTTTTTTTACGATAATTGCACGTTAATCACTCTACACAGATAAATGTTATACAAAATACACAAAAAAAAAAATAAATAAATTTAAAAGTACATTGTTTCTACTATAAAGAAACGTGCATTTTATAATATTAAATAATTTTATATTAAAAACAACAACAAATAATAACAATAATAGAGATGACATAATTCACGCGAAAAATTTCGCGCCATTTCTATATGACAAACTATATATGTATGTATGTATTTATAAAATTATTTTATATGAGCGCTTATTTTGCAATTTGTCTATTGTTTTCAGAAATCGACATTTGAATTTTGTTACACACATATATTTACAATTATATCTAATTTTAAGAAAATTCTAAAGAAAAAATTGAAAAGAAAAAAAAATTTTAATGGCAACGAGAATAGTTTAGTAAAACGAATAAAATAAAAAAAAATTAAATAAATTACTCTTAAGAAATTTTATTTTTTTGTTATATTTTGCAACATTTATTTGAATAAATAAATTAATTTAATTAAATTTTAAATAATAATAAACTTAATTTAATTATTTATTTGCATATAGAATAACAAAGTTATATACAAAATAATTTTATGTTAAAATTTTAAATATTTTTCAATTAATTTACTTAATTACTATTCGACTAATGCGACATCTATAGTAGTGTTACCTTAACTGTTATATAAGTAAAGGTAGTATACATAGCATATTTTAATTGCGTGAATATCGTATAGGTATAAGAATTCAATTTTAAATTTAATTATTCAAATTACAATGTGATAGGCGAGACATCTATATAACACATATTTTAAATTCTGTTATATATTTTAAAGGTACGAATACTGCTGTCCCTTTCCCATAATGAGATTTCAACCATTTTATACCGCAACCTGTCATATATTTCATCTATTTTTGTGCTAGTCACTCTGACTTTAAAATTGCTGAATTACGGTATTCCAATACCTGATTCAGCTTACGAATTTTTAATTGCTGAATTGTTTAGCAGCAATACAATACAATGTTGAAGTAATGGTTTTATTTTACATGTCATTTACATGTTTTAAAAATACTGTTTCAAGAAATTTTATACTATAAGTATAGGAATGTACAAAATTCTAAATCGTAAACAAAATTCTATCAACCATTTACGTTTTATTTGGAATTCATCCATGTGAATTCTATTTTTCATAGCACCCCATAACACAATTTAAAACGAGTTTCCGGCTTTTCTTTATATTCCAATTCTCTTAAGGTATAAAATTTAATTTTATACATAAAACAATACAATTACAAATACTAAATAAATAAAACAAAAAAAAATTAATAAAAATAAAAGTAAAATGACGGTTTTTGAGCATTTAACGAAAAAAAAAATAAGACACCGGAACATTCCGCCAACATTTATAATTTCTTACAAAAGTGCAAAAAAGAAGAAAGACAATATTGAAGCGGCAAACAAATCAAAAGAAGTAGAATAATACACATTTGTATGTACATGAAACAAATGCATATGAAACATTGTAAGTATGTACATTCAGTCATTGTTTTCTTGCAGCAAAAAAAAACGAAACGAAAACAATAACAAAGAGAGAGAAAGAGAAAAAAAAAACTAGTCTACCTATAAATTAAGCATTTTTTCGTTTCATTTTGAAATTTTTTTTTTTTAATCGCTTGTTGAGCATTTTGTGTCTGTCTTTTCGTATTTTTGCGACATGCAATAAAAATTTAAAGGAAAAACACTTAAAAAACAATAACAAACCCAAAACAATAATAAAATATAATTAGACTTCCGTATTTCCGTATGCCGTTGCCGTTTGTGTGTAATTAGGTAATTATTTTCGCGATATTTTTTCTTTTTTAATAGACTGGTTTTTTTTTGTTTTCGGATTCTTTTTAAAATTAGTTTAAACATTTTTTTATTTAAACGATTTAATTACAAAATTAATTTTCAACTTTTTAACCTTTAAGTACTGAAGTCAAAATTTCATAGAACTAGTGCAGATGTTTGGTCTCACAGACCGCACAAATACAATTTCTCAATTTTAATTGACCGCTCAATTACAAAATTTTTTCATTTTGTTTAGTTTTATTTAGTTCTTACGTAATTACGGAAACTTAAAAAAATATCTTACATTTCTTCTTAGTATGCAAAGAAGACATAACCAGTCCTGACGCTAATTCGATATTTTTAAAATCTTAAATACTCCTCGGCAGCAGATAAAGGTTAGAAAAAAAAATAATTTTTTGAAATTTATAATGACTAAAGAGTTTAAAATTTTACAGAATGATGCGGTACGAGAAGGAAATGAATGTAGTTCGATCGAAATTAAAAAAAAAAAGAGGTGAAAATAATATTTTT